CTCCTTCCTTTCCCCCTCTCCTTCCCCCTCCCTCCCTGTGCACCTTCTCCTTTCCTCCCTCCATCCTCCCTTTTCCCTCTCTCCCTCTCTCCCTCCCTCTACCCTTTTTCCTCCCTCCCTCTCCTTCCTCCCTCCCTCCCTCGCCTGCCCCCCAAACCGACTTACTCGTTGTGGGTCTCTTCGGGCGACGTCTCCCTCTTGCCCTCTCCGGGAGTCCAGTCTTCCCCTTGGCCTTTGTCCTCCGCTTCCCCTTCTTCCTTCTGGGTGGCCGATTCCCCGTTCACGGGCGCTGGGAGATCTGGAAGAGCAACAGGCCTTCTCACACCAGTGGAAAAGGGGAAAGCCGGCAAAGGGCACAAGCAAAGGGCTGGATTTCTCTTCCCCCCTTGGGAATCCTGGGCTGCTTCTCAGGAATGGGGTTCTCTTGGGAAACCCCCCCCCCCACCGAGAGGGGAAACCAACAGTGCAAATCCCGCTAGTCTCACAGCTTTCAGAATCGATAGTGGACCGGGCCGAAATTTCCTGGAATCTTTGGATTTCGACTCCTGCCTCGGAAAGGGCCTTACCAGGATCCTTCTCCTCCTCCTCCTCCTCCTCGCCCCGCTCGTTCTCCGCTTCCCCGGCCGGCAGCTTCTCCTTGTCTTTGCCCCCTTCCTCCTTCTCCACGTCCGCCCTGTGCACCTTCTGGTTGCCCCCAGTTTTGGGGCCCAGGACGCGGGACTTCAGGCAGGTGTAGACTTCGGCCGCCTTTTCCATCACATCCTTGTTGGCTTTGTAACGTCGGATCTGATGATAACCGAAAAGAAGAAGAAGAAGAAGAAGGAGGAGGAGGAGGAGGAGGAGGAGGAGGAGGAGAAGAAAAGTTCAGCCTGGGAGGGTCTGGAAGGGCAGCTCCAAAGGGCTCCCAAGAGGGCAGCTATCTGAACCCTTCAGGCTCCTGGAACTAAGGAGAAAATTTCCTGACAGTGAGAACAATTCACCAGTGGAACAACCTGCCTCCAGAAGCGGTGAATGCTTCAACACTGGAAGTTTTTAAGAAGAGACCGGACAGCCATTTGTCCGAAATGGTATAGGTTTTCCTGCCTGAGCAGGGGGTTGGACTAGATGACCTCCAAGGTCCCTTCCAGCTCCTGTTCTGTTCTGTTCTATTCTAATTTTGGTATTCTATTCTATTCTATTCTATTCTATTCTATTCTTATGTTATTCTATTCTATTCTTATTTTGTTATTCTATTCTATTCTATTATTTTGTTATTCTATTCTATTCTATTCTATTATTATGTTATTCTATTCTATTCTTATTTTGTCATTCTATTCTACTCTTATTTTGTTATTCTATTCTATTTTCTATTCTATTCTATTCTTATTTTGTTGTTCTATTCTATTTTATTATTTTGTTATTCTATTCTATTCTATTTTCTATTCTATTCAATTCTATTCTATTCTATTTCATTTATTCTACTCTATTCTATTATTTTGTTCTATTCTATTCTATTCTATTATTATGTCATTCTATTCTATTCTTATTTTGTTATTCTATTCTATTCTATTATTTTGTTATTCTATTCTATTCTATTCTATTATTATGTTATTCTATTCTATTCTTATTTTGTTATTCTATTCTACTCTTATTTTGTTATTCTATTCTATTTTCTATTCTATTCTATTCTTATTTTGTTGTTCTATTCTATTCTATTCTATTATTTTGTTATTCTATTCTATTCTATTTTCTATTCAATTCTATTCTATTCTATTTCATTTATTCTACTCTATTCTATTATTTTGTTCTATTCTATTCTATTCTATTCTATTCTATTCTATTATTATTCTATTCTATTCTTTTATTATTTTGTTATTCTATTCTATTCTATTCTCTCTTCTCTTTTCTTCTCTTCTATTCTTATTTTTAGTCTAGTCTAGTCTAGTCTAGACCAGTCTATCCTATCCCTATCCCTATTTTATTTTGTAATTATTATGATGGTTTCTTAGTCTTCACACCACGGTCACCTCGATTTTAGCTGATGTGGTTAGCTAAACCCAGCCAGTGTCGCTCAGTCAATAAATATCTATGGAAATTCTCAGCCATCCAGGTCACGGTGGTCCCGTTGTACCATCACGTGATCAGAATTCAAACACTTGGCAACTGACTCCTATTTACGACGGTCGCAGCGTCCCTGGAGGGGGGGTGTCACGCGATCCCCTTTTGCAACCTTCTGACAAGCAAAGTCAATGGAGGGAAGCCGGATTCACTTAACAACCGTGCTCCTAACTGTACAGCTGCAATGATTCACTTAACCACTGTGGCAAGAAAGGGCGTAAAATGAGTCAAAAGAAAAAAAAATGTTTCACTTAGCAAGAGAAATTTTGGGCTCAATTGCGGTCGTTAAGTCGAGGACTACCCGTGCGTAACGACCACAATTTGAGCCCAAAGTTTCCCTCGCTAAGCGAGACGGTTCAGTGAGTTTTGCCCCGTTTGGAACGGCCGCTAAAAGAACTGACGTAAATTGAGGACTAAGTGCCCAAGCTGGGAGGGAGGGAGGAAAACAGCCACTCTCACCCTCCGTGGCCCCCACGTACCTTTTTCAGGGTGGCCACGACGTTAGTGTGCTTCTGGAGGATCTGCGAAGTGACCTGCAAGCTGCCCAGCTCTTCTAACGCGCTCAGACACCTCTTGATGTCCTAAAAAAGGGGGGGAAAAGAGGATCGGGTGAGCTGACGGCCCTCGTGGGTGGACCCAGATGGGCTGACCTGATTTTACAGTCCCGGGAAGAGCGTGCCTGGCAGCGAATCAGATTGCAAGAAGGAAGGGAGGGGCACGGGGAGTCAAGGCAACGGTGCCAGGCTAGCCGTCCTTCAGGCTTGATTGGAGAAACTCCGGCCTTCAATCAAGAGTGGGGGGGAGCAGGAGAAAAATATACCTGGATGTTCAGGTGTCCTTCAACAATGAAGGAGATGCTTCTTGACCTTGCCCGTTTGAAGAAGTATGGACTTCAATTCCGAGAATTCTGGGAGTTGAAGTGCATCCATCTTAAAGCAATCTAGCTGGGGAATTCTGGGAGCGGAAGCCCACCCAACGTAAAGCAGTCTGGCTGGGGAATTCTGGGAGTGGAAGCCCACCCAATGCAAACCACGATGGCTGGGGAATTCTGGGAGTGGAAACCCATCTTAAAGCATGCTGGCTGGGGAATTCTGGGAGTGGAAGCCCACCCATCTTAAAGCATGCTGGCTGGGGAATTCTGGGAGTGGAAGCCCACCCATCTTAAAGCATGCTGGCTGGGGAATTCTGGGAGTGGAAGCCCACCCAACACAAACCATTCTGGCTGGGGAATTCTGGGAGTGGAAGCCCACCCATCTTAAAGCATGCTGGCTGGGGAATTCTGGGAGTGGAAGCCCACCCAACACAAACCATTCTGGCTGGGGAATTCTGGGAGTGGAAGCCCACCCATCTTAAAGCATGCTGGCTGGAGAATTGTGGGAGTGGAAGCCCACCCACCGCAAAGCATTCTGGCTGGGGAATTCTGGGACTGGAAGCCCACCCATCTTAAACAAACCTAACCGGGGAATTCTGGGAGTGGAGGCCCACCCAACATTAAGCATTCTGGTTGGAGAATTCTGGGAGTGGAAGCCCACCCATCTTAATGTCACCATGATCGAAAAACACTGCCTTAAAGGAACAACAGGATCGCCGAATATCCACTGGACAGTACTTAATATTTATTTGCTATGTATATGTAGGCGTGTGGGTCTATTATACACATGTTGTATATAGTATGTTTAGGGGTGTGTGTCATGTATGTGTTTCACTTTTGAGAGCGGGCAACTAAATTTCATTTTTGATGTGTGCCGTTGTGCCCACAGTAAAAAAATGACAATAAAGGTTATCTTATCTTATCTTATCTTATCTTATCTTATCTTATCTTATCTTATCTTATCTTATCTTAGGAAGGGGGATTGAAGCTTATGTGAAGGAGCTGACTGGCTAGCCAACTCAGATGGGGAATATATCTGAAGTCTGACTCAACAAGTCAGATTTTCCTGCCCCTGAAACTGGAAGCAAAGCAAGGTGGAGTGTTTCGTGATTTATTAGAATTTTCTTGACTTTGTAACTCAAGGCAGCAAATATATAATACTCCTTCTTCCTCTTTTCCCCATGACAACAACCTGTGAGGTGGGTTGTGCCGAGACAGATGCCTTGGCCCAAAAGTCACCCAGTTGGCTTTCAAGCCTAAGGTGGGACTAGAACTCCCCTCTCCTGACAATTGGCTCAGAATCACCCAGCTGGCTTGGGTGCCGGAGGCGGGACTAGAACTCACGGTCGCTTGGTAATTGGCCCCAAATCACCCAGCCTAAGGTGAGACTAGAACTCTTAAATCTTCTGGTGACTGGCCCAAATCATCAGCTGGCATTCAGGCCGAAGGTGGGACTAGAATTCTCCATCTCCTGGTGATTGGCCCAACTCAACAGCCGGCATTCAGGCCTAAGGCGGGACTAGAATTCTCCATCTCCTGGTGATTGGCCCAACTCAACAGCCAGCATTCAGGCCTAAGGCGGGACTAGAATTCTCCATCTCCTGGTGATTGGACCAAATCATCAGCTGGCATTCATGCCTAAGGTGGGACTAGAATTCTCCATCTCCTGGTGATTGGCCCAACTCCCCAGCCGGCATTCAGGCCTAAGGTGGGACTAGAATTCTCCATCTCCTGGTGATTGGCCCAACTCACCAGCCAGCATTCACGCCTAAGGCGGGACTAGAACTCACTGACTCCTGGCGATTGGACCAAATCATCAGCTGGCATTCAGGCCGAAGGTGGGACTAGAATTCTCCATCTCCTGGTGATTGGAGCAAATCACCAGCCAGCATTCATGCCTAAAGTGGGACTAGAATTCTCCACCTCCTGGTGATTGGCCCAACTCCCCAGCCAGCATTCAGGCCTAAGGCGGGACTAGAACTCACTGACTACTAGCGATTGGACCAAATCATTAGCTGGCATTCAGGCCTAAGGCGGGACTAGAATTCTCCATCTCCTGGTGGATTGGCCCAACTCACCAGCCGGCATTCAGAGCTAAGGTGGGACTAGAATTCTCCATCTCCTGGTGACTGGACCAAATCACCAGCCGGCATTCACGCCTAAGGCGGGACTAGAACTCCCTGACTCCTGGCGATTGGCTCAAAGTCACCGAGGCAGCTTTCATGCTTAAGGCGAGACTAGAACTCACCGACTTCCTGGTTTCTAGCCTGGAAACTTAACCATTAGACCCAAACCGGCTCCAAATACCTTACCGGATTGTCCACTTTGAGGGCAAACTTGATCTCGCTGTGCAATTTCTGAAGTTTCTCTTCCACGGTTGGTTCTGCAAGGGGAGGAACGGTTTTTTTAAAAGTCTGCCCCATTAGCTTGATGGATTCCCACAGCAGCTCCCTCTACAGGGGCATTGACTGGCTAGCCCAGGGGTCTTCAAACCAGGGCTGTGGAGTCGGAGTCGAGGAGTCGGAGTCAGAGGAAATTTTGAGTACCTGGAGTCGGAGTCGGCAAACAATGCACCGACTCCGACTCCGATTCATATAGATAAGCTTTGTTTTTGTTCCAAAACAACCAAATAATGTGGTTTGTATTTTTGAACTGGTAAAGTTCCTGTTCCTGATGTTTATGCCTGCTGATACTATCCAGCCACTTGATTAATTAAATTAATAAAAAAAATTAATAAAACTTTGTTGTTTTCATTGTGTTTGTCTTTTGCTTAAACTGTTCAATACAGTAGACTGTTGGCTTCCCAGCCAGTAGTCCTGTGGTAATGACATGTATGTTGCCTTTCTTTCTTTCAAAGAATGTATAAAATACATTCGCATATTAATACAGAGGAGTCGGAGTCGGGGAATCGGAGTCGGAGTCGGAAGTACAAAAAACTGAGGAGTCGGAGTCGGAACATTTATCTACCGACTCCACAGCCCTGCTTCAAACTTGGCCCTTTTATGACTGGTGGACTTCAACTCCCAGAATTCCTCAGCCAGGCACACGTGCCTGGCTGAGGAATTCTGGGAGTTGAAGTCCACCAGTCATAAAAGGGCCAAGTTTGAAGACCCCTGAATTAGAGAGTGTTGACTCATGCATGAGGCAATCTACACTCTGATTGGTTGCTGTGGGTATGAAGGGGGCGTTTCCCTTTTTCCCGCCTTTTTTCCTCTGTTTGTCCTGTATACTTCTTTGATTTACCTCAGGGACTCTGGCTGAGGAATTCTAGGAGTTGAAGTCCACCAGTCATAAAATGGCCAAGTTTGAAGACCCCTGGGCTAGGCATATATCTGCTCTAGGTCCAGACAATCAAAGGGGTCCTGGGCTCTTCTGATTTGACTCCTTGAACCAACCACCCCCTTGCAAGGTAGGCCGGCGTTCAGCAAGCAAAGCTCAACAGTGGAAGGAGTCTTACAATGTCCCCTTTGTCAGCGGGGTTCAGTCAGAGGCTGCTTTAAATTGGATTCCTGCACTGAACAAGGGTTAGACTTGATGACCTCAATGGAAAGACCCGGCTGAGAGCAAACGGGGGCCCAAACTGGCTGGGCACTTCTCAAATGTCCCTTTTTCTGGCAACCGAAGCCTCCTGTGCTGTTGACAGCCGACAGTCCACAGCCCAATGTCTTCCCAACGTGAGGAAAGACTGAAAATATTTCAAAAAGGGGAACGAGAGTAATGTTCCAGTATTTGAGGGGCTGCCACAAAGAAGAGGAAGGGGTCAATTTATTCTCCAAAGCGCCTGAAGGCAGGACAAGAAACAACGGATGGAAACTCATCAAGGAGAGAAGCAACCTGGAATTAAGGGGAAACTTCCTGACAGTTAGAAGAATTAGCCAGTGGAACTCCTTGCCTCCAGAAGTTGTGAAGGCTCCAACACTGGGGGTTTTTAAGAAGAGACAGGACGATCATTTATCTGGAATGGGCAGGGCAGTGGTGGCGAACCTATGGCACGTGTGCCAGAGGCGGCACGCGGAACCCTCTCTGTGGGCACACGCCATCGCCCCAGCACACGTGGTCTCTAAAAGTTCGCCATCACTGGCCTAAGGCCAGCCAGCCTGGAGCCACCATTGGGGAGCCCACCATCCCGCCCGCCAGAGACCCCCTGGATCTCCCCCAACCCTGCCCGGCTTCCACAGGTGTCCCTCACCATAAGCAACGTCGAGGTGGCCACGCCCACCCCGGCCACGCCCACCCAATCTGCCATGACTACTGCAGCCACACCCATCCAGCGGCCACGCCCACCCAGTCTGCCAAGCCCACTGTAGATGCGCCCGCCGAGTGGGCCACACCCACCTGGCCCCCGGCGATACATAAATGGGTTTTGGGTTGCAGTTTGGGCACTCGGTCTCTAAAAGGTTTGCCATCACTGGGATAGAGCAGTGATGGCAAACCTTTTAAAGACCGAGTGCCCAAACTGCAACCCAAAACCCACTTAGTATCGCCGGGTGCCGGGTGGGTGTGGCCCACTTGGCGGGTGCAACTACAGTGGGCTTGGCAGACTGGGTGGGCGTGGCCACTGGATGGGTGTGGCTGTAGTGTCATGGCAGATTGGGTGGGCGTGGCCACCTCGACGTTGCTTATGGGGAGGGACACCTGTGAGAGCCGGGCAGGGTTGGGAGAGATCCAGGAGGGTCTCTGGCGGGTGGGATGGTAGGCTCCCCAATGGCGGCTCCAGGCTGGCTGGCCTTAGGTCAGTGATGGAGAACTTTTGAGAGACCACGTGTGCTGAGGCGATGGCGCGTGCCCACAAAGAGGGCTCCGCGTGCCACCTCTGGCACGCGTGCCATAGGTTCGCCACCACTGGGATAGGGTTTCCTGCTTGAGCAGGGGGCTGGACTAGAAGATCTCCAGGGTCCCTTCCCACTCTGTTATTCTGTTCAAGCCCAACCTCTGTCAACATGGATACCTAGAACTAAGGAGAAACTTCCTGACAGTGAGAACAATTAAGCAGTGGAACAACCTGCCTCCAGAAGTTGTGAATGCTCCAACACTGGAAGTTTTTAAGAAGAGACTGGACAGCCATTTGTCTGAAATGGTATAGGGTTTCCTGCCTGAGCAGGGGGTTGGACTAGATGACCTCCAAGGTCCCTTCCAACTTTATTATTATCATTGTTATCATTATCATCATCATCATCATTATTATTATTATTATTGTTATTATTACTAGGCTGCCATCAACTCTATGACCTCTGACGTGCAAGTAAACGATACTCAAGGTCCTTGGTCACCCAAAGATGGCCCCTGCATTTTTATTTATTTTTTTACCTTTTTTCTTCTCCAATTTTCTTTCCGACAGCAGATCCGGCTTCTTCCTGCCTCGTTCGGCTCTCAGAGACCTATGGGGGAGAAAATGGCAGAAGGGAGGCGTCAAAGGAGGGAAGGGGGAACGAACCGGCACCCCAGATCAGACTGAGCCTCCTCTGCAGCTGTAGATGCCTCTCCTCTTTCCACTGGACGGCTACCAAGTTCTCTGGGCAGAACTGTCAATCAGCTGCCTCAAATTACCGGGAGCGTCAAGAGACAGGTGAACAGGGACTGAACTCAGCCTCGAAACCCAAGGATATTTAAATTTAATCAAGAAATAAGATTTATATAAAATGTTTTATCGATGGCACATGACCCCAGTAAGATGAGCGAAAATGTTTTAAAATGTTTCGAATAATTGTTGGAAGCGTAAGCAAAAGCCAGGTACTTATTACCATATCTGGTGGGTATGTCCTAGTGCAAAAAAAAATATCTGGGTTTAAGATTCATATACGGCTGGAAAAAATGACTGAAATACAGATAGAATTTAAGCCAGAACTGTTTTTGTTAGGAATATTAGGATCCAATTATGGGAAAGAGAATGAATATTTTAATAATACATTCTCTAATATTACAGCTGCGAGAATAGCATTTGCTCAATATTGGAAAAATGAAAACACACCATCTGACGAGATCATAATTAGGAAAATCTTAAGAATGTGCAGAAATGGACAGATTAACTTTAGAAATTAAAGAGAAAGAAGACTCAGTCGATTTTAAAACATGGGAAAATTTCTACCAATGGTTTAGCAAAGCGAACGAGCGAGAAATGATGGTGAACTTTAACAAGATGGATTATATTTATTGATTAATTGATATGCTTTATGATCACTGTTATTTTTATTGCTTATAGCCATTTGCTATCATACTAATTATTGTTATTGAATACTTGCATCCGGACAATAGTCTGCTTGCTAAAGCGTGGAAATGTTACTGGGGGGGTAACCCCATTGTTGTACCTACCCTTATCCTAACCCCATCCCTGAACCCTACCCTGAACCCCAATACCCATATTGACCCTATCCCTCCCCTACCTTGATAAAACCTAATAAAGGCCAACACAGTGCTAGGCTGCATTAACAGAGGGATAGAATCAAGATCACGTGAAGTGTTAATACCACTTTACAATGCCTTGGTAAGGCCACACTTGGAATACTGCATCCAGTTTTGGTCACCACGATGTAAAAAAAGATGTTGAGACTCTAGAAAGAGTGCAGAGAAGAGCAACAAAGATGATTGGGGGACTGGAGGCTAAAACATATAAGGAACAGTTGCTGGAATTGGCTAATGTCTAGTTTAATGAAGAGAAGGACGAGGGGGGACATGATAGCAGTGTTCCAATATTTCAGGGGCTGCCATAAAGAAGAGGGAGTCAAGCTATTCTCCAAGGCGCCTGAAGGCAGGACAAGAAGCAATGGGTGGACACTAATCAAGGAGAGAAGCAACCTAGAACTAAGGAGAAATTTCCTGACAGTGAGAACAATTAACCAGTGGAACAACCTGCCTCCAGAAGTGGTGAATGCTCCAACACTGGAAGTTTTTAAGAAGAGACTGGACAGCCATTTGTTCGAAATGGTATAGGGTTTCCTGCCTGAGCAGGAGGTTGGACTTGATGACCTCCAAGATCCCTTCCAACTTTACTACTACTACTACTACTACTACTACTACTACTACTACTACTACTACTATTATTATTATTATTATTAAATATTGTTAAAAAAAGAAATAAACCTTACAAGCTGCAAGCAACATTACACAGGCAGTCCTCAGGTTGCAACCACACAGAAAATCCTCAGGTTGCAACCACTAGTTAACGGAACGTTTAATGTTGCGACGGCCCTGGGAAAAAAGGGACTTAGAAGCAATCCTTGCAGTTGTAACCGATGCTGCCTCTCTGTGGTCACGTAATCAAAATTTGGGTGCTTGGCAACTGGCATGGATTTACGACATTCACACATTCAGGTGATTGCCATTTGCAACCTTCTTAACCTAAAAGTCAATGGGGGAAAGCCAGATTCGCTTAACGACCGCGTGATTCGTCTAACGACCGCAGGGGTTCGCTTAACAACTACGGCAAAAAAAGGTCGTAAAATTGAGCACAACTCACTTAAGAACCCCCTTGCTAAAACACAGAAATACTGGTCCCATTTTAAGTACCTGGGAGTGCAGCCAACTAACCATCTGACGGTCCCTTCATACGTTATCTTTAGTGAAGCGTGCAAACCAGCGTCTGCATTTCTTGTGTCGGATGAGGAGAGCACATCTTTCTCCTTCTGTCCCAGCCACTTCTGACAAAGGCACGATGGAGAGTGTCTTAACAAACTGCATCACTGTCTGGCTTGGTGGTAGCAGAGCCTCAGATAGAAGGTCCATACAGAGAGTGGTGAGGACAGCTGAGAAGATTATAGGAAGCTCGCTTCCCGTGATTCAGGATGGAAGGTCCATACAGAGAGTGGTAAGAACAGCTGAGAAGGTTATAGGAAGCTCGCTTCCCGTGATTCAGGATGGAAGGTCCATACAGAGAGTGGTAAGGACAGCTGAGAAAGTTATAGGAAGCTCGTTTC